GAAAGAGGATGTGTGACCAGAGAGAATGCTTTGGTTTTCAGTAACATTTTATTCAGTGGAGTAGAAAAACTCTGGGGAAATGCAGAAAAGTACTTAAACTATGAATAAAGATTTCCACTTTTAAAAGATTTTTTCTTAGGTATATTGAGGATTTAAAAATCAAAAAGATATTAAGTCTCCTTCCTTTCTAGATTAGCAGGAATACTTTTACAAATACTTGACCCTGTTGTTCCCAAATAGTTCTTCAAAATATTTTAAAAGGGCACACACACTCACACCACACAAAAGTAAACATCATTTCCAAGAAGGACGCTGTATCAGATTGTTAGATATGTGTTTGTTTCCTCAGTCATTTTTTAATGTTACCTAAAATCCAGTATCCAAATGATGGACACAAGAGCATTTTGGTTCGAGAGCTGCCACAACTCTACAACGGCTAAACTAAGGTAAATGAATGAAGCTTTTATACTCCCATATATTTCATTTTAGAACTAAAACAAGAAATTACTGACCATTATTGGAAGAAATATTCTTTTGTAGCTTCAAATATATTCTCAGTTCTCCTCCAGAGAACACTGCCACTTGGTAAAAATGGGAAGATGACCCTTTGTGGATAAAATGAAGGTTCCTGTGGCCAGTATTCTCACCTGGCCCTGGTCAGCTAGCTCACTACACATGTGTGGGCAACACATTATTATTGACTCTATATAAAGAGCCCTGCCCAGTGCTCTGGGCGACACGGTGGCATGGCTGCAAGGCTATAGGAGAGCTGAGCAGAGACTGGAATGGCGGCAGCGCTGAGGACAGAGGCCCAGAAGCAGAGACCAGCTTGTTGCGTGCAGACTCACTCTGAGTAGATGGGATTTTAGTGATTGACCTGCCATTGTGGAAATAAAGTTGGGTATAACCCTTTCGCCCCAAGAACATTCTACTGTCATTTCTCTGGTCACACTGAATCCATAGTGCACTTGTGCGGGGCTGAAACCCATTGGCAAGGCACCCTTATAAAATGGGGATTTCAGGGTAGAAAGATGATGACTTCTTTCTAAATCTGAAATTTATGTTTTTAATAAACTTAGCTTTAGATCAGTTTTTAAATTTACTTTTAAAAACACAAGATTACTTTTAAAAGTAATACACAGAGTTCTCGAATACCCCACACCCAGTTTCATTAACATCTCACACTAGTGTATTTGTCCCAATTGGTAAACCGGTGTGTTGATATATTAACTAATGTCTAGGTTTTGTCAGATTTCCTTTGTTTTTCCCTAATGTCCTTCTTCTGTTCCAGGATACTACATTACTTTTAATCATCATGTCTTGACTGTGACAGTCTCTCATGACTTTGTTTATGCTGATCTTGAGAGTTTTGAGGAGTACTGGGCAGGTATTTCATTGAATGTTCCTCAATTGGGATTTATCTGATGTTTTTTTCGTTAGATTGGGGCTATAGGTTTGGGGAAAAAACATCATCACAAAATGTCATTTTCATCACATCATACCAGGGACATGTCCCATCAACATAACTCATCACCACTGATGCTAACCTTGATCTCCTTGCTCAGGTTTCTCCCACGCACAGTTACTTTCTTTCCCCCTTTCCACACACTGTGTTGTGAGAAGGAAGTCACTGTGTGTAGACCATACTTACAGAGTGAGGGGTCAGGCTCCACCTCCTTGAGGATGGACTCTCTACACAACTTGTACGACTTTCGCTCCTTTATTTCCTTATTCAATCGTACATTTACATCGATAGGAACTCACGGATGTTTATTTTACACTTTGGGTGCTCACCCAAAACCACGTTTGGTTGGTCAGCACTAGCCGCTAGCTTTCAGACCGCTCCTCGGACCTGTGACATACATTGTGACCAGCCTGCTGCTGTTTGAACACCTCCTTAGTTTCTGGTACTACCAGATGCTCCCAGCTCATCTTGTATAATGCCTACTCCCACTCAACCATGTCCCCAAGAAGCCCTGGTTCCTTTATTGAAGAATGGCATTAGACACTAAGGTCCAGGCACTAGGATGTGCTCACTGCTTCCAAACCCTCTCAGCTGACAGGTAAGGAAATGTGTATTTGCTAACTCCAGGAAACACACATTTGTAAGTATTTCTATATGCAACCATTCTCAACTATATTAAGCAGAACATGAGTTAACAGTGATGTCTCCAGTTCTAATCCATTACCACAGGTCATTCTGGCCTCCTCCCCTTGCTTCGCTGCAACTTTCCACTTCAACAAGGAGACACCTGGCTCCCACCACCTGCCATCCATTTACTTAATTGCTCAGTTCCAATGTACACATATAGTGGTACTAGAATTGTTAACAACCAAATTTATAGCTTTATCAACTATAGCACAGTACTTAGGTACAGTTCCTCTTGCCTTTAGTCTTAGAGACGCCACTCATTTCCAAAGTGACTTAGGTCAGTCTTTTTCCCCCATCCACTGCAATGAGGTTGTTTCATACATTTTTAATAGTTAGATTGTTTTGTCACATTTTCATTCCATCCTGGGATCTTCTGACCTTCTGAATGATTATTTATTTATATATTAGCAAACAAAATGACAAGTTTTATTCTCAACATGGGATTGGTTTGAGGGTGGGAAAAGGAGAAGCCACCAATGGAAGCCGCCAAAGGAAAGGTTCCAATTTAGAGATTTTCTTACATTTCTAATATTTGCTTTAAAACAGAAGTTTATGGAAAGCTAATGTAATTCATTTATTCTTTAAATGTACTGAAATCTTTGCATATAATAAGAAACATGGTAAAGATCAAGAATAAAAAATACAGCTTTCTTTCATAATTGAGACATGGATTTTTCTAGGAGTTTCCAGTAACTTTATTAGATTTTCCTACTGGTAAAATGGGAATAAAAAGTATTCTGATAGTATTCTGTCATTCAAAGGTAAAAATTAACAGCTATTTTAGTATTAATAACTGTAGACTTTATGCCTTGGAGGGAATAAGCTCTACCCAATCATGTTTTTCACAATTCTGAAATTTTATATTTTCACACAATTATATTCATAAAGCCTTGTAACTCTGATGATTACTCTCCACTCTTATCACTAAGGATATTCCTGTCTAGAAACCTAGGATTCTTACACATTTTAAAGTCTTTAGGTATCCAAACAGTTACCAATATATACCTAGATTTATTCTTACACCTGTGGGAGAAGTTAAGAGCGATTTGGTGGCCGATTATGTAAGATTATCTTCACTTAAAATTTCCCCCAAAAAATGAAAAAAAGGAGAGAAAACATCTTTTGAGGATTTCTTTTTAAAACAATATTTATTGTCCTTGTAAGACTGCATATATGCCGTTCATTTACTAACATATAATCACAACCTTCCAAGGATATCATTTAAACTCCTGTTATTATCATGTAATTTACTGAATTATCAGAAAAGAAGACCTCAAGAGCAAATTTGCCAACTCAATCTTGCAGGAACGAGGATACCCAAGCACCTCTTTTGTTACTTTACAGAAGCCAGCATTTATCCATAATTCATTCCTACCTAACACTTGACATGTAATGTAATTCACAAGTCTAATCTCTTTCTTTGTAGTGAGCTCTGAAAAAAGAGCCATATTTGAGGACAGTAATGAATATTTCTTCCAAATACCATCAATAGTTTCTTCTTCCCCATTATTCTAATTCAAAAATGAAATATCTGGGAGTATAAAAATACAATTTTCTAGTTAAGTATTCAGAGACAGTATATTGTTAAATCATATTTAAAAATCATCCTTTATAATTTAAACTTTTGAAGATGCCATAAGAACACCTGTTTCTTTACCTCATGGTGTCCCAAGAATATACAACAAGTTATGCTATAAATAAATCACTATGCTTTTGTACGGATGTAAGTTTGCACCAACCCTGCAATTTCCCAAGTGCTGCCTCAGACTCTAGCAGAGATAAAAGAGGAAGTGAACTCATTCTGAGTGGGCTGGGAGACCAGAAACAGGATGTAAGATTAGAGGCAAGGGATAGGATAATTAGAGCTCAAAGTCAAAGTAATGCTTAAAGAAAAAACTAAAAGGTTTTTTGGGGATGACTTGGAGAAGAAATGTAAGCATTTACAGAGGCTACCGCCTCCATCAAGGGAGTCCCACGCTATGAAAGAAGGTACTCAGAACAAGCTCAGAGATCAGCATTCCTTTAGCCAGCCTATGCAATAATTACATATTGATTTGTAGTACATTAGCACAAAGAAATAGGTAAAATAATGAGGAATCAATAAAATTTGATTTAAAAGTTCTCCAATTCTAAAAATCCTGAACAACTGTTGGAGAAAGGGCAAGAAGAAAAGAACAAATGGCTGCCTAAATACATCCCCTGGAAATCGATGCCTCATCAATCCCTTCTCGTGGCCTAGAAGCCAGTGTGCAGGCTCAGCAGGACTGACTCACAGTCCTCAGAAACAGATCTTCCTTGTGCTTTGAGGGTTCACATTCTATGACAGCTGACACGGTCCAGGGCAGCACAGCTGCGAGGAGACAGCCAGAATAACAGTCACACAGCAGAGCTGGCTTTATTTGGAAGCACTTTGCCAGGCTTCTCCCGGACCCAACTAGGCAGCAGTTGACTCCCTCAGGGAGAATATGAAGGAACTTTGAGAAAGTATTTAGTCAAAGACACATACTGCTCCCATCTACAGCACTGGAAGTCCCCCGCAGAGATCTCAAGAGAAAATGAGGCTTGGGATTTAATCATTAGGTTTGGTCTTTCTATCTCCTAACTCATACAGGACTTAATAAAGTGATCTCTTCATCCTGATTTAAGGAAGTGATCCTATTAAGAGCTGTGCATGCCTGGGAATTTACCTGCCTCTCTGTGGGTCTAAGGATTTGAGGCTGGATGGGTAATGCCACAGAATAAAGGGGAGCATCTTTGAAGAGCTGGTCCTTTGACAGCACCCTGGCAGACTCATTTCCCTGTGTGTGAGATGAACAGGCAGGGAGCTGGGGAGTGCCAGGTAACCTACCTGCCACTCTGGTCTGAGGTCCACATAACTGATCGTCCCTGAGGTTTGGTTCTGTACCGTATCCTTATGGCGTGAGGAAAGTCAGTGGCTGTCTGAACGCCTGACTTCCTGATCTGTAAGCTCCACGTGTCAGTGTCAAACAGGAGTTCCCCACAGCCAGGAGCCTGGCTGCAGAGAGCATAATAGTCTAACTGCTCCCTCCAACAATACGCAGGCAGAGTCACAAGTTCATGGACAATCTGATTCCTGAGCTCCTCCGGAACAACCATGAGCTGGGGAGACCTTGTAAATTTTTCAACACCTGGCACAGCAGCAACGTCCACTTCCTCAACCTTCAACACAGATAGATCACAGCAATCCAGCACTAGCACAAAATCTTCACTCCCATGATTCCCTGTGCCACAGCAGTGCTTTGAGCTAGAAACCCCAGAGGCCTGCTCCCGGTTGTCATGGTGACAGTCTTTCCCAGCAGTATCTTTTCCACCTTTACCACAGATTACAAAGTCATTCCATCCCATGTCAGATGAGAAGGTCCCTGTAGTAGTCACAGGGCTGCTGCAGGGTTCAGGCGAGCTGACTCTGCAGGCTTCGTTTGACTCTGATCCGCACATTTCCCTGGTGGACGTACTCTGTTTCTTGAGCCTGTTTCTAGACTTAAAGAAAAGCACTACAGTGCCCTCAATGACTTGACTTTCAAAATCTACATCTAAATCCAGTACATAGTGCTTCACAAGAATGTGGCTGGTGTTGGCCATGAGAGGCAGGTCATCTCGGGAAGGGTCCAGCTTTACATCCATGGTGTGTAGGTTGTTCAAGAGCTTTGTTGAAAACCTCAGAAGGGGCTTCCTATCTGCCTTAGTTTTCCAAAATCATGAATGGCTGCATACTAAAAGATACCTGATGTCACAAATTCTGGTTCCACCAACTTTCAGTACCCTGGCAAAGAAGAACAAAACAATTAGACAAAATCCCAAACAAAACCCTAAATGTTCTTAGAACTGCTGTTCCTGCAAATTGACTGCCTCCTTAAAAATCCCCCCAACCTGGTAGAAGCTCATGGCTAGAAGGCAGACTAATCTTTTTGACTGACATCAAAGAAAGGTGCATTATGGGTTTCTAAAAATATTTCAATTATCAATGGAATGAAAGGGGCCTACACAAAGCCAGAAGAATCATGCTCCTGACTAGAACAGTCCTGTTTTGGAAAAGAGCAATTGTTATGCAAAAGCATAACTGAGCATCACTTTGCCTTTTGTTTTAAAAGATATTAAATGTATCATTTAAAATTCTGTGCATCAAAAGGTAAGTGATTATTTCTCTACCGTGATTCTAAGTAACAAATGTGAATGAAGGCTAAATGGCCATGAACCGTTTTATTCTTTGAGAGTAATAACTTAATACAATGTAGCTCCAGGGATTAATGTGCTTCTCACATTAGGACTGCTCTCATATCAGCACTTCCAGTAAATTACAGGAAAATGAGCCAATTTACCAGGAGTGCATTCTAAGTATTCCTTTGAGATTGTTCATGGAGATTTTTCAAATTTATAGTTAAATACTCAAGGTATATCATTACATCTTAATAGCTGAAAATCCATTAACATTCTGGATAATAGCCTTCTTGGCAAACAAAAAGGCAAACAAAAAGGTCTTCTCATATAAAAAAAAAAGTATGCAAATACCTATAAAAGGAAGTAGAGGACTTAAAATGTAGAAACAGATGTTACACTAAAATGCCCAAGTTCTTCATAAAAGTTCTGAATCAGAATGTATTCTGATTTCATAACAGCAATCCAGCTAAAAGAAAATTATTTGAAATTATTTTGGTTCCTGTTACATACCTCATTTCCTTCAGCATATGCTGTTTTTTTTATCTTTCACCAAAAATGAAAAAGAAATGTCAAGGGGAAAAAAATTAAAATTCTGATAGAGCAGATATATTTTAAATACTTTTTGTATTCTACATACGAGGAGGTATTCTATCAACTACAAAACAACATTACTTGCCTGGCTTTTCAAGTAAAATTGAGCCCTCTCTTTTCATTGTTTAACTCCTTGCTTCCCTTCCGACTTGATCTGCCTGTCTACTAGATTCTTATTTCCCTTCCCTCTAGAATCTCATTCTAGCAATCAAACCTATTCAGTTTTCATTTTCTACCTCTCCACAGGCTATTTTCTCATCAAAAATCTCACCTAGCCTAAAAAAATCTGGCTTCCTGCAGCCTTGTTCAATCTGATTTCATGCTATTTTCCCAGTCATGAAGACCACACTCCCTGAGCATCCTTGTCCTCTAGCCAAAGAGCCTGCTCAACACACTGCTCCCTGAAAATGGCCTGACCCCATGTCCCCACGCTTACTGGACTAAACCACGGGCCTTACCTGGAGAGCTCCTGGCTCCTACCTCCCATATCCACTTGCCAAATTCTAGCCTTCCTCTACACCTAGTTCAAGAACAACTGCCTCCTGAAATCCACTCCTCCTCTCTACTCTCCCTCTCCCCAGCAAACCGCGTGTGTGAATACACACACTGATTTTTTTTTTCCAAGTGTGATAGTGAAATTTATTATTTTGTGAAAAAGATTACAATTGAGGTTTAAGCAATTTGCATTCTTAAAACAATTTAGCAGTTATCTTTTAGGAAAAAAAATTAACTAATGGGAGGTTTAATTTACATTAGCATTGTTGTTTAGATTTCATCTTTAAAATTCTGGTGAAAATTGAGTTATGATTGACATCAGTGTGTTAGGATAACCTGGCTAAAAATTGTACTTCATATGAGTTAGTGACTGATTAGCCCTCCACATACCTATGAGATTCAGGAACTGACAGTGGTTGGGTGAGATGTCCCATCTTTATTATCCTGGCACACATTGATTTTAAAAGTAATAGATTTGAGAGAATCAGAGGCAAAGAATAGTCTGAAATTACTTAATGGAGAAGCTGGTATTCCCTTGGTCCTAGAGAAGTCAATGGACAAGGGAGTAGCCCATGAGAGCGAATGAACTCGTTATGTAATAAATAAAGCCAGGGGTGGCCGTATCTACATAATGAGGAACAACGGATATTCAAACATTGTCCTACTAGCGTTTGGTGCTAACAACTTAAATACAGTGTTTTGTTGGTTGGGCTCTTTAAAAAAAAACTTCTTTTTGAGAAAAGAAGACTTGGATACACACACTCACAAACACATACAAGAGGAAAATCTGAACAAGCGGAGAGAGCTGTTAACTTTGTGGCTGTCTAAACGAACCACATATGAAGAACAGTTTAGCCTTTGAGACAATATAGACATAACCATTCATTGTCTAACCCTAATTAGGTTCTTCCACTTACTTGTGAAATTAATATAAGTTGAGCAGTTTTCACCATTTTTGTCCCTGAAGGCAGAGATCGAGGCAATGCTGGATCAGGTCAAAGCTTCCAGAAGAAGAGGTGCCCTCTCCAGGTCAGACATAGGGTCTGGAGGAGTAAGAACAGCCCTCTGTAGTAAGGATTGCTGTCAAAAGCAAAAAGGAGGGGCTAAGCTGAGCAGAGCATGACCAGTCTCTTCTTCCCAAATTTACTAGAATAAGTCACTCCACCTCCTCCAGAATAGAAGGGACCAGGAATGTTACAGTAATTAAGCTTCCTCCACAAGAAAGGCAACATCAGAAATAGGAAAAAAGAGTCCCCCTAACACCATCCCCTCTAATTCGAAATCTTGGTTTATCTGACCAGGAAAATGTTTCTCTTGCCAACCTTTTCTCCCTCTCTTCCATCCTATTCCCAATGTTTCAAACACTCCTAGGGCCATCATCTTTAAAAACAAGTATTGCAATATATACATATATCAAAACATCACATTGTACACCTTAAACTAATACAATGTTATATGTCAATTATATCTCAATAAAACTAAAAATAAAAACAAACAAAAACTACATTTGGCCCTGTTGCCCAGTTTACATGGTCTTTATTTCTCTGAATTTTGGAGCTAAAAAATTCCTTAGTCCAACTTTTTGCAAATGAAAACAATGAGACTTAGAGAGGTGAAGCAATTTGCCCAAGGTCATCCATTTATGGGGCTTTTCTACTGGGGCTTTGCTGACATTTTCCCTTGGAATCCTCACCCTCCAGCTCTCATGTCCATTCCCTCCATGCTGTCCAACGCATAAATCAAAAGTCACCTCCCAAGACTATCTTCCATGTCCCCATCCTACCTGTTTTATCCTCTTCAAGTGAAGAGAACTAGAAAATTCAAATTGTAACAAGACAGCCCCAGAGGACTCAGATCACCATCACCTTTGCATGATCTCCAACCTATGTTATGTATAATGTACATCTATTATAACCTGCTGCTTATTACACCTATCTCCTGCTTGCCTTGGATTTGTGGATGACCTAAATCTCCTGTCTTTGCAAGTACACACTCTCTCTGACGTCAATCAGGGTCATGGTCCCATATTTAGGGAAGAGCTAAACCAAATGTGGTTGCAAATGCGTGTATCTGGCCACTTTGAAAGGCCTCTCTCAGCAAATAGCAAACATATTTCTAAGCAGTCTGTTGACTTCAGCATTTTTGCTATTATTGTGCTCCAATTTAAAAAACCAGCCCATCTCACTGAAGCATTTTTCCATTCTCTGTCATAAGCCATAACATATAAAATACCCCCACCCCACCACATGGTTAGTTTCCAGTGGCTAACCACTGCTGCCTCTAAAGTAAGTGTACTATGTGGTCTGTATTTTAAATGCTTAAATGATTGTCTCAGCAACACCATTAAAGGCTTTGAAAGGATTAAAGTATAGCAATATTTTTCTTAAGGAAGGTGGTGGGGTGGTGGGCAGGTATCAAATACCAAACAAAGAAACTACCCTGCCATTTTCATTCACCCAAGCACAAATGCACACATTTACAAATGTGTGAAATAGCCTCTGTAGAGCCACTCTGGATCCTTCCAAAGAAAATAATTTCATTCTCCTTTCAGGCAACAAAGTCTGTATATCATTCTCATGCCCCTTAACTTACCGTGCCTCATTTTAGAGTCATCTGCACTTTCAAATGGTTCTATAAACATCTTGGGAGCCCTCATTCATCTTTGTGTTCATGACCATGTGAAGTAGAATACCCTGCCCACAGGAGGTTCCCAATAAATATTTATGGAATTGACATCTGAGGACATTTGTGAGTTCAATATCTAGTTATTTACAGAACAGGGATTTTGGCCTGTAGAGGTCCTAGTAGAAAGTTTTTGCTCAACAAACATCCTCCTTCAGACAGCTCTCATTTTTTCTTTTCAGGATATACCTGTACCTCTTTATGACATATCTCTTCTTGTAAGCAACTTAGAGGAAAAGGAGAGATTTCTGCAGGAAAAAATATATGCTTATTGTATAGTACTGGGTGCACTGTGAGTAGTTACAAAGTATTTAACTCTACAGATAACTTGTTTAGAGGAGGACAGCTTCCTGCTATCTCAAGCATATTTATTCTTCAGGATACAGTGATCAGTACATGTGGGTAAAATTGTAATATTTCCAGAATATCTCGCCTGGCTTTGGTGTATCTGCGTATCAATAGGCGTTCAGAGGAGGAAAGAAGCATGGCTTTAGTGCATTTGCATATCCCTCAGGAGTGGAGAGAAGTTCTTCTCCATATCAGTGGGTGATTAACTGGGCAACAGAGGACTTATCTGTACCTGAGAAGTGAGAGGGAGTGCTGGTTCTGTTTCTGCGGGAGCAGGAGAAATGGCCCTGGACTGCAGTTTATAAGCAATTAACAGGTTTTTAACTTTATTTCTCCCTTTGATTGATTTTGGTTTTTAGAGGTATTTTGCCCTGAGACTTCCTTTCCCCAGACTTACATCTGGTGTTAGTCAACAGAATTCCTCTGACCGGAAATCTGTAATAATGGGTGTGACCGTTGGAAGAGCCGCCCCTAGAAATGATGGGGAGAAGTGGTGCTCGCGCCAAGGGATGTGTGTCTACACTCATGTGGTCATGAAGGCGCCACCACCACTGCTGGCCATGCCAACTCCGGCCCATGGCCCAAGACTAAGGCTACTTCTGCTGCCACTGCTCCTGCTGCCAGTTGGGGGCTGGTCACAACTATGGAAAGGAGCAGACGTCCAGTTCACCTTGATAGAGAAGCAACTGGCTGCTGTGTACCATGCCTTTGTGGCTACAGAGCCCGTTGCCACAACAGCTCTGACCAAGGTAATAACCACCTATTCCATCGCAGAATGCGTGAGAGACTGGACCCAAAGGCCACAGAGTGGTGTGGCACAGACACCTACCGTATATCATGTGACTGGCCATTTGCCTTTGGCATCCCCAGGGAATAATGAAGCAGACACATTGGCCCAGGTGCACTGGCTAGAAGGAAAGCCTGCTTCTGATGTGGCCCAGTGGCTACATCAGCATTTGTTGCACATGGTGCAAAAGACAATGTGGGCTGTAGTCCATCAGTGGGGCTTGCCATTGACCTTTGAAGAAGTCAGCCAAGCCCGGAAGAAGTGCCCTGCACATTGTGCAGACCAGCAAACCACCAAGAGGGACCTAGAGTGTCTCTCTGCAGCCTATGTCCAGTCACCAGTGATTGAGGGCAATCAGGGCACCCACTTTATTGGATATGCATTGCAAGGACAGGTGCAACAATTAGGAATAAAATGGATGTGGCCCTGGACATTTTGACACATGGACCAGCGATGGCTGTCTCTTCTGGCACCTTGGGGAAAAGGCCTGGAAGCTGGCCTCCTGTGTATTCCTGGAATAACAGCAAAGTGACCCCCTAAAATCAAGGTTATTGGCTTCGACAGTCCTTGTGTCCTGGATGCGCCCCCTGGCTACAGCTGCTGCATGACAGCTGGAATGGACAAGCTTTGGACTTGATCTACATGGGACTTTGAACCTAGTTGAATTCTCTGGCTTGAGAATTGTCATGATTGTATTGCTGTTTTCAAGAAAAAAATGCTTAAAGATAGGCTTGACTTTGTTTAATGTTTGCTAAAAGTTTTGTGAGTAATCTAGCATGGTTTGTCAGGAATGGGTAAACAAGTGTGAAACATATTTTGTGCACAGTGAGAGATTGTGCTGTAAAGTACATTTACTTAATCTGCATAGGCTGAATCCTGGCTTGAGGATTGTCATAATTTTATTGCTGTTCCTATTGTATGTCATTAGTTTGGTTGGAAGTAGGGGAATGAGTAAATTCTAAGGTGAGATTTCTGGAGGGGTAGCCTGTGGGTGAAACTGTAATAATATTTCCAGAATATCTTGCCTGGCTTTGGTGCATCTGCATATCAACAGGCGTTCAGAGGTGGAAAGAAGTATGGCTTTAATGCATTTGCATATCCCTCAGGAGTGGAGAGAAGTTCTTCTCCATATCAATGGGTAATTTACCTGGGCAAAGAGTGCTTATCTGTACCTGAGAAAGTGAGGGGGAGTGCTGGTTCTGCTTCTGTGGGAGCACGAGAGAGAAACGGCCTGGACTGCAGTCTGAAAGCAATAAACAGGTTTTAAACTTTATTTCTCCCTTTGACTGATAGAGGTATTTTGCCTGGGGATTTCCTTTCCCCGAACTTATAGTACACTTGCTTAAGTGTACTTTTCTGGGCACAGTTCCTCAGATACTCAAATGCATAGTCATAGGAACATAGCTCATTGCTGTGAAATTGGTAATTTCAGAATTAGAAGGAATCTTAGAAGTGCAATGTATTATTTTGTGTTTAGAAATGTCACACTGACACATTCTGTAACTTCTTTCATTCAATGGTTTTGAAATATAGCCATGTAGATACTCATAAATTTACCTTGTTTAACAACTACTGTTTATAGTGTCCCTATATGAACATTCCACAATTTATCTCTATATTTCTTTACTGACACTTAAGTTATTTTACATTTGTCCTTATCACAAGCAAAGCTGCAATGAACACCCTTTTACATGTCCCCTGGGGCATATATGCAGGTGTTTCCTGGGCAAAACACCAGAAACACCATTTTGCCTAATATTAATATTGGCATGCCTGCTTTCTTTTGGTTTGTTTTTTTCTTTATACATCTTTCTACCTCTTTATTTTTATAACTGCTCTGGGTTGTTTTGCATTGAGTGTTCTTTAAAGCAACATTTGGCTGCATCTTCTTTTTATTTTAAATAATGTGAATTTTATTAAAAATTTACATTTACAGACCTTTTCAGGATCCTAAATTTACAAACACAGAGCAAAAATAGACAGAAATCACATAATCACTTGTATTTTAACTGGTACTACAAGTATCTAACATCATTTTTTTTTTGAGAGGGCATCTCTCATATTTATTGATCAAATGGTTGTTAACAACAATAAAATTCTGTATAGGGGAGTCAATGCTCAATGCACAATCATTAATCCATCTCAAGCCTAATTCTCGTCAGTCTCCAATCTTCTGAAGCATAACGAACAAGTTCTTACATGGTGAACGAATTCTTACAGAGTGAATAAATTCTTACATGGTGAACAGTACAAGGGCATTCAT